CCCACCGGGCGCGACCGATTTTCGGGAGTTCCTCGGCGGTGCCCGCCCGCCGGGACCGGCCTGCTGAAAGGCGGCGGCGCAGGTTGTTTTCAGCAGTGCTCGGTGCCGGAGGACAACCAGCCCGCCTTAGCGAGCCCGTCGCGCTCCTTCCTTTCCTCTTCCTCCACATTTCTGCATTCCTTCCTCCCCATGTCTGCCCGTCTTCTCCAGTAGCCTGTGGAGGTCTTTATGCCCCCTTCTCCCTCGCTTTCCCGGGGGCTAGATCGTTACCGCCTGTCCCCCATTCCGGCCGGACACAAAAGCGCTGCTTGGAGCTGCTGGCAGCTGAACCAGGGCGGAAAATTTGGTCGGACGAAGACAGAAAACCATCATTTTCCAGCGGGCACAGACCGCCCCTGCCTCTACCTTTACTGACATTGCTTGCTGAGCAAGCTCAGAAAAACGCAGCGGACCTCGGCTTTATCCCTCGCTCTATATAACTGCAACGTCGGGTAATGAAAAGATTCCTCTCGCATGCACCGAGCTGAGATTTCTTTCCAAACAGGGAGGGTTTACGCACGTTTGTAAGGAAACCCGTTCGCTATGTAGCTGCAAAGAAAAAAATATTGTGAAACCGGGGAGGTTGACACAGCAGCTTCGCAAGTAGAACATCAAGATGCTATCTTTGATCGTCCTCCCAGTTGTGCCTAGCAATATATACGCATCGCAGTGCCATCTGCCTAGGGCCAGCAGCAAAACAAAAGTTTCACATGGCAGCACAAACATCCTCGGCGGCTTCTGCAGCTCGGCAAGAGAGCTACTGAAAACGTTTGTTCTTTTTCAGACGGGACACGTCAAATTGGGAAATGTCGAAGGTGCTGTAAGAGCTTAACAAACCTCGGAGAGAATTATCCCACTCCTGTTTCATTGTTTTATGCTTCACGGACACCCTACAGAGACCGAGAATAGTTCCGTTTTGATGCTAAAAGTTGTCATTATCGGCTACTTCCAGTATAAATAAGCGCAATTTGACCAGTGTGCCAACGTACGACCCTCTGCTGCAGGTTCAGTGGTGGTCATCGGGTGAATTAGTTCAACCAACACAGTGTGATTAACTCACATAGCTGAGGGAATGGTGCCAAGATAGACACTGGGTCGCATGGAGAGATATCTTCACATTAAAACGTACTTAGTTCCACCGAGGCTTTCAAAAGTAATCCAGAGCAGCACAGGCAGAACCTGGCACTCACCACCACCCCAAAAATCCTGCTCTTCCCTTCCCAGCCAGTGCAGTTTAACGTGGGCTAAGTTTGAAAAGACAGGAGAGAAAACCTGTGCCTGACCCGCATGTGAGAATACACCATTTGCTTATTTTGGAGAATAATCCGGGGTCAAATAAAGACCAGCAAATGTTTTCGAGGCAGGCAACCAAAAGAAATCACGTCGATTTCTAGGCAATATTTTGGGGGTTATTTTAGTACTCTGCTGTTCTACTCACTGACATCTTTTGTACACCCAGAAAGACTTCCAATGAGAACAAGATGTTTGTCCTTTAATACCACATTATCAACAGAGGTCATTTGCTATTTTTCAATGAATTATCCCTTTTATTTGTTTATTTCTTTGTTCAGCTATAAATGAAAGTTATTCGTGTATATAAAACTGAAGTTTTTACTGTTGAAATTGAACTGTACATGTTTACTACAGGAAAAAATATCAACTCTTGTTTAACAAGACATTATACATCAATAAGCAATAACCTTGTGGAGGATTTGCAATCACCTGGTCTATAAAAACAAGCAGGACAAATAACAGCAATTTATATGCAAAAGTAATGATTTAATGACTATAAGCAAGACAAAGCAATAGAATTGTGCTTCTTTTGCAGACTGGAGACAATGAAATGTTTAACTACAATTTTCCCGTACAAACATGAAACAATATCCATATAGAATAAACACCCTCACAAATGTATAACTGATGGGTGATGAACACACACGAAGTTCGACCAAAGCAAAGCACAAACTGAAAAGTGTTCTGGGCTGTTCATATTTTATGGTGGAAAAGTTCCTCCTACTGAAAAAAATAACACCCTTAGAAGCCTCTAATAAAATGCACCTATTTGCAGGCCATTAAAGAGGAGGCATTCTCCACAATTTATTGGAAATATTAAAGTACCTGTTAAATTTTAATGAAGTTAGTACTGTACCATACACATATATATTAAAACAAATTTAGATAAAATGCCTTCATCCAGCGACTTGCTGGTTCCTTAAAATTTATACCAAATAGTTTATGGCTTCTGTAATGATTCCATGTGCTTTTAAAAACACAATTCCACCACACCAAATAATAAAAAAGGTAATCAAACAGGTCAAAGACTTCCATGTCCCTTAACTTTTTTTTTTTTCTTCACTGCATCACTTCAACATTTGGTAAAGTAAAAATATATCACTTGGAAAAAAAGACAAAGCCAGTAAAATCCTTTCAAGATTGCCAATTGCCTCCAGGTTATCAGAGACTTGAATGTGCTTTCCCAATACTGTAGCTCTCACACGCAAAGTGTTTCTTGCAGTATGAGCAAAGCTCAAACAGGCGGCATCTGCAAGGGTCGAACCAGTTTAGAAATTTAACAACCATATCATGAGTGCATGAAACACAATATTTTCTTTATAGTATTTATAAATATATCATACAATACTGTTTCCTGTTATGTCATATACCAATATGGCATTGTACAATAAGCATAATGCCATCTGATTCTTACAAAAGCGAATCATTTAAACAAGTCAGTAAATAAAACGGTAATACCCGCTTTTAGGCATACAGATTGTAAAACTGAAGTTTACTTTTCTTTTGATCGGTTCTGCGCAGCAACAGAGAAGTAAAAGATGCAACATAAGAATCAAAATGGCTAATACGCAAAAATTGTTATTCACAGTGACATGGCTACATATATGCATTATTCTATGCATATTCTTTCCATTTTGTTGGATTTCAAGATGAAAAAGCACTTGCTTTCTACAGGTTCACAAAACAGCATAAGAACAATAACAATCGAAGAGAACGCAATGGAGGAGTTAGTCTGGATTAACAAACTACTTCCCGGGATTTGTATCGACTTCTGGAGACTCCCGAGTCCAGATGATGGGGACGGAAACAACTCCGCATCACTCGGAACAGGTGAAGGTGTAACTTTTGTTTGCTTCCCAGTCCTCTGAAAACAATTTACATTTCAATCTTGCGTTTCCATTAACGTCCATCCTGAATGTCACCTTTTATAGCCAAGTTCAGTGTCACTACAAAAGAAAGCAATTTGGACGATAGTCACATGGATTAGCATCTATAAAGCTGTAATGGCATGGAGAGATCTATATAAAGGAGGGGCGGGGCGGTAGCCTGGTTGGCGCATCAACCAGAGGAAGTGGCCGAGGAGCCATTTATCGATGTTTTCCGTGCTCTGTTGGTAAAGGAGGACTGGTGGTTACTGCTGGGGCTGCTGCTGGTGCCGTTCATGGTGCTGGAGATGTGGGGGAACTGAGGGTGAGGAGACTGGACCGGCGTGCTGGGGCTGGGCAAACAGGAGGAGGTGGAGGGGATGCCTCCCGCTGGGCTGCTCGCCTTGTCGCTCCCAGAGTCACTTTCCAGCTCCCCGCTATTATTCAAGCCTTCCCTCTGGTGACTGATCTTCATCCTCTTGCAAGTAGGTCGGACCCGGTATTTCAGGGGCAGAGGCCCGTTCTGCAAGGCAAAGGGGAGACCCCGGTCAGCGCCCTCCCTGGGCCACGACCCGCACCCCCCCGGGGGGGCGCACGCTGGCCACACTCACCCGCCTCCAGGTATAGATGTAGGCAATATCCATGAGGGTGTAGTAGTCCTTCAGGGGCTCCTCTTCATACATCACATCGATCTGTTCAAGACATGAACCCTTGCATTAAGGAGCATCCAGGCGTTTACCCCCGAGCACGCGTTTGCTCTGCGGCGAGAATAGCCCCACTGCCATACAGATCAGAAAACTGAAAAAATGCTATACCAAACCCAGCAGGGAACAGGGAACTTGCATATTTATTAGAGATGTTTTCAATACGTTAAGGAGCAATTTCTTGATACTTCCATATTTACAGCATTAAAAAATTACAGGGTGTCATACAAACTCCTGGACAGATATTTTAAAAATAATGTTTATCAGCATATTGCACACACCAGAAATGCTTGGTAGTTAGCACTTGCTGGAACTGGCTGTAATGAGAAAATGAGTGCTAACCAGCATTAGCAGGCTTAGAATAGCAAGACTGATTTAAGACCCAAAATAACT